CTCTTTTTTGTTCCTGACCTGCACTGGTGAGATACTGTATCTACGCTCGCTCTCTCTCCCTCTCTGATCATGCTTAGAATATTGCCCTTTAATGCTTGTTAATGCCCTGTACCTTAAGCTTTATACCTTGTATGTGAATCCATTAATTTTAAAATGTAATTATACTGAACAAAATATAAACGCAACATGCAACAATTTCAAAGGTTATACTGAGTTACAGTCCATGTAAGGAAAGCAGTCAATTGAAAAACATTAATTAGGCCCTAATCTATGGATCTCACATGACTGGGAATTCAGATATGCATCTGTTGGTCACAGATACTTTTTTTTTAAGTAGGGGCATGGATCAGAAAACCAGTCAGTATCTGGTGTGATCACCGTTTGCCTCATGCAGCTCATAGAGTGGATCAGGCTGTTGATTGTTGCCTGTGGAATGTTGGCCCACTCCTCATCAATAGCTGTGTGAAGTTACTGGATATTGGCGGGAACTGGAACAAGCTATCGTACACGTTGATCCAGAGCATCCCAAACATGCTCAATGGGTGACATGTCTGGTGAGTATGCAGGCCATACTCACCAGGAATTGTGTACAGATCCTTGCAACATGGAGCCATGCATTATCATGCTGAAACATGAGGTGATGGCGGCGGATGAATTGCACGACAATGGGCCTCAGGATCTCTGTGCATTCAAATATATCTGCCTGCCCATACCATAACCTCACTGCCACCATGGGGCACGCTGTTCACAACGTTGACATCAGCACACCCACGCTCACCCACACAACACCATACACGTGGTCTGCGATTGTGAAGCCAGTTGGACGTACTGCCAAATTCTCTAAAGCGACATTGGTAGACATTGGTAGAGGCTTATGGTAGAGAAATAAACATTCAATTATCTGGCAACAGCTCTGGTGGGCATTCCCGCAGTCAGCATGCCAATTGCAACCTCCCTCAAAACTTGAGACATCTGTGGCATTGTGTTGTGTGACAAAACTGTATATTTTAGAGTGGCCTTTTATTGTCCCCAGCACAAGGAGCACCTGTGTAATTGTTACGTGTGACATGTTTTTCTTTCTCCTAATCTTCCTTTGTAGTGTGTGTGTGTGTGTGTGGTTCAGAGTGGTTGTTCTGTTTGTGTGTTCTGGTTATTACAGGTGTGCTGAGTTGCGGCTGACGATGGTAGGCGTGGCTTCGGTCCGGAGTCCTGGCAGCTGTGGTTGATTGACTGATTGACTAGAGTATATAAACTGTTTGCCGTGTGAGCTCGAGACAGAGAGGGCACTTTTAGTTTGGCTGTTTGTCTGAGGATTTGGTTATTGGTTGTTTTGATTTATCTTTGTTTGTGTTCCAGCCTGTCCTCCTGCTGTATTCCACCCTACCTGGGTCCTGGAGAAGGGAAAGGTAGTTCTGCCCATGGGTGTACATTCACACGTAGATAACCCACTGTTTTATACACTAGGTTAGCCAGGTGGCTGTCACCCCTGTATTTGTGGTAACAGGTAGGAAAGCGGGTTAAGGCTTAGAGTGGGTTAGGAAGGATTAGGTGTGGAGAAGAGGAGGGACCTATTGTTTATTTTCATTACTTGGACCCCGTTCCCAAACATTCCCTTCTCTTACCATCCCTGGTTTGTTTGATTGGTCTTTGTTTTATTACTGTTTCTTTATGGGTGTTGTATATGTTGTTTAGTACCTTACTAAACGTCCCCCAGAGGGCTAACATTGAGTTCTGGTTGTTGTGTCTGGTTATTTTAGCTAGTTACACCCCACATTTCTTCCCCATCCATCTAGTTTACATTGTGTGCGCAGGCACGGGCATTTATGTCTCCTCCTCAGACGAACTACACCCGAGGGGAGAACGTAACAGTAATGATCATCCTGTTTAATCAGCTTCTTGATATGCCACACCTGTCAGGTAGATGGATTATCTTGGCAAAGGAGAAATGCTCACTAATACGGATGTAAACAAATTTGTATACAAAATTAGAGATATTAGCTTTTGTGCTTATGGAAAATTTCTGGGATATTTTATTTCAGCTGATAAAACATGGGACCAAAACTATACGTGTTGCGTTTATATTTTTGTTCAGTGTAAATATAGATATAGACAATCCTCATAACCATTCCTTGATCTTAGTCAGCTAAACGCATAATACTTGATTGCACATGGTTTAACTATAGTCGCTGGCATATTGCTGTATTATCTTTATGGAGTCAGATAATTCATTTAATGGGCTAATTGCTTAGTCTTACTACGAGTCACATGTGAGGAGTATATAATATGCATACATATCAAATATTACTTCACTACAATATTGTCCAGAAAATTACAAAAATTACCATGTTTGCCTAAAACAAATGACTTGTGTAGTTTCATGACAGGAAATTGATTAATATTACATTATATACATGAACCAACATTCAAGACATTTTACTTAAACATTTAGCAATTAAACTTGCATAGTTTATATTTATCTAATTCAGATCAAAGGCAATCAAAAGCCAAAGACTCCTGTTTATACTACAGGAGCAATAAAATGCCACAGAGACTGAGGTTTGGTACCATTCTTTTTTATTGTTCAATTATATTTTTTCATCCTGCTGTTTATTTGCAATGTTTTTCTATTATATGATGCATATGAAGGTGTTTCCATAAAGGCGCAAACACAAAGACCATTTACTGTAAATATGGCATTAATCGCACCCTTCAGTTTTACCATCCATGGTCAGGGTGAGATCGACAAAGGGCCTACCTTCTTTATGAGACATCCAAACACACTGGTACACATTTAGGCAGGGCTCTTTTTGTCCCCATACCATTGGCTGCACGCCATGGACCTGACCTTATATCAATGACCCCAACCCTCCAACACAACTAGTCCTAGTGCTGGTGTCATTTTTCCCCAATGGAAGACTTCTCAGAGGCAGTGGAGTGATTGGATAATTTTTTCCTTAGTGGAGTAGTAATACACCAATGAAATGCAGAATCACCAATTTACACAAAGAAAATTCAGGGGGGCACCCCACCTTCAGGTCGGGCCTCCTTCAGCACAGCAGCCAATCAGAGATGACCTCATGACTCCTTAATAGGCTAATTTGAACGTATCTAAAAACTCTCCTCCAGTTTTGTTGGACCGTGGTGAGTCATGGTGAGTTGAACTGTTATGAGTTAAGAGATAAGACAATAGGATATAGGGCAGTGTGTGTAGATTTTCCCAGCAGTGGATCCAGAGTCTACAATGAATCAGGGCAGTGTATAACAGATTCCCAGTAGTGAAACTTATCACACAGGAATGCTGAGGTTCATACAATGACACATTGTATGATTTGGATGGTCGGGAATGCAGTCTGTGCTTTTAGTAGAGCACTCTTAAATATAGATAGCTATAATAAGTGGAGGTCCCACTGAAATATGAAGGACTTCCTGGATGATGTCTGAAGGTATAACTGGGTGTGGAACTCAGGTTTTGATGGCAGCAGTAAGTATCATGACATCTGGCATCAGGGTTTGACCTTTGACCTCTCTCGTTAGCCCGAGCTGTCCCCTCATTCAGGATCCTTCAATCTCTCACATTCAAATAATTTTCTGGGTCTTTTGTTCAAATGCTTGTTAGTGTAGCAAACTATTCAAAAAAAGCATCACACCAATAATAAGACTTCCTTTTCAGAGTTTCATACTGTACATACAATGTTTCTTGGTGTAAAAAAAAATCCATGAACCCTTGACTACTGTACATGTGCAGTATCGGAACTCTATATGTCTGTCTGTCTCACAGAAACTTTTGTACCAGCGTGACCGCACCCCAGACGTCTTGACCATGGCATGTGACTGCTCTGTGAGTGCAGGAGAACAGTGGCTGCACTAACAGCTCAAGTGACTAACAATAATCCTTAACTGTACCATGTGACCAGCCTACCTTTGGACAGGTAGCTAACCACCCCTACCCCAGTGATACCCCTTCCCCATCCCCATGATTGCATCATATCAAATCAGAGAGCAGGATTTGTGATGCACACCTATTCCCCTACGACGGCAGTGTCTGCAGAAGAGACCCTCGAACCGCCCCGTGCGAAACCCCTGCCTTTACCCAGCCATGACTCCCCTCCCCCAACCCAAAAGGAACATTATAGTAATGATAGGAGGGAGGGGGGAAATGTCTTAGGTCTAGATTCAATCAGATCAAGCGTTAACCGGCGATAGCCGACACCCGCATAGCTGATGTTTTGGCAGTGTCGGAGGTGTAACTGCGTTGGAGCTGTCAAATCGGTGAGCAGCTGCTCTTGATCATTGTCACGAAGTCAGACCCAAGTTCAGAATGAGAAAGTGTAGGATATAGAGAAATAATGACGCTCAAATTGAAAATCATTAAACAACATTATGAGGATTTCTATCAGCCTAATCAAGGTGTAGATTACATCTCACATTCCAGTGTTCGAACTTGTAAACAAGGCTGCATGGGATTTCACTTAATGGCAATGTCTGCTTTAGGTATAATGCCAGGAGCCGCATGTCGATTTGACAGCTCTAGCGCAGTTTCACCTCCGACAACGCCAAGACAACCACTATGCATATGTCGACTAAAGCCGATCTGATTGAATGGAGTCCTAAATCAATTACAATACAATTCTTATTCATGATTATAACAACACAAAGAAAGCGAGTGAAAGTGCTGTTGCATTCATAAAATCAACGTGTGTGAACTAACATGGTTTAAAGCTGATTTTAGAGCTCGACTTTGAAACATTGACATTGTCATGATGAGGAGGATGAACTTCCTGGTGCCACACTCGCATCAGGCTTTTGCATAAAATGTCAACGTCCTGATTTTAAAATATTTCCCCCCTTTTTTCTAAAATATTTCACAGGCAAGATTTTGTGTGTGTTGTTCTTGTTTTTTCTATTTTGTTGTTGTTGTTGTTTGTTGTTGTTGTCATTTATCGTTGTTATTGTTGTTGTCGTTGAACAAGGTGTAAGAAATCCAGGAGGCGATGTGCAGGCTATGAGCCGCCGTCTTGCTCTGTGGAGTCCTGGCCCGCCACTTTTTCTCCTCCGTTCAGGAGAGCGGGAGCCTCAGTCCCTGAGTTTTTCCGTGAGCGGCCCTTTTCCTCGATGTCATGCAGCGATGGCTCTTTGTACATGCAAACTGCAGAAAGGGCGGGGGAAGCGGGGCAAGTGAGAGAAAAAGAGAGAGATGGAGAGGGAGATAGAGAGCAAGAGGAGTGAGAGAGCGAGCGAAGGGATATTTATACAGTATAGTAAAGAGATATAGGTGAGAGCAGGAGGGGAGAGAAAGGAGGGGAGAGAGACAATACAACGAGAGAGAGAGAGAGAGAGACAATACAACGAGAGAGAGAGAGCGAGAGGGGAGTGAGAGAGAGTGAGTGAGAGAGAGCAAGGAGGGGAGATAAAGGAGGGGAGAGAGACAATACAACGAGAGAGAGAGAGAGAGAGAGAGAGAGAGAGAGAGAGAGAGAGAGAGAGAGAGAGAGAGAGAGAGAGAGAGAGAGAGAGAGAGAGAGAGGAGGGGAGTGAGAGAGAGTGGAGTGAGAGAGCAATGTAGGGATAGGTATACAATCCACCACTATCCCCTCTCTCTCTCTCCTCTCTCTCTCTCTCTCTCTCTCTCTCTCCTCTCGCTCTACTCTCGCGTCTCTCTCTCTCTGCTCTGCTTCTTTTCTTTCTTCTCATTAGTTTAGAGTTACTTTAGTTAAATTAGTTTAAACACAACATTAGAACCTACATTTGCCCTCCAGCAGGGTTGGGGTCAATTTGAATTGAAGTCAGTCAACTAAAGAAATAAACTGAAATTCCAATTCGATAATTGAAAATATGGCATCCATTTTCTATGATTTCTCAATAAACTGAAAAGGAGAAGCTATTTATTTCAAAAGCTTAAACAGTTTTGAATTTTCAATTCAGAACACTTCCTGAATTGTGTGAATTAAATTGACCCTAACCCTGCCTCCCAGTAGTCATTTAGTTTCTCAAACTTTAATGGATTATCTGGGTACCTGTGTCTGAAGACTCAAATCTATCAAACACACATTGAGGTCTTCTCAAACAAACCTGAATTCTTGTAATCTGGCAATCTGTCATAACCCCAACCAGAATATGATGTTGTTATGTCCCATAACAATTTTGGCCTGCTGGGTAATTTATAAACAAAGATGCTTCATTAAAATATCTATGGCTTGTAAAGTGTGTTATGCCCCCTATGAAATGCACTTTAAATAAACCTTGACTAGACTTATGGCAGGTGTTGCATTTGAATCCAGCCCTGAGTGTGGTGGTCTCACCTTCGATGGGTCTGGGCACAAAGTGTGAGGAGGGCTTGGTCTTCTTCACCCGGTTGCCCTTCATGACCACGCCGTCCTTGTTGAGGCCCAGGTACCAGGCCCTGCCAGACTCATGCTGCCGGTACAGCGTCGATGAGTAGATGACGTAGTAGTTCTCAAACACAGACTCCTTGAATTTCGCCTCTACTGTGAACAAGTCCTGAGAGACAAAGAGAGGAAGAAAATACTTGAGATCAGGTATTACAGTGCTCAAAGAGATAGCCCACCGGTTTAAAATACAGTGCTCAAAGAGATAGCCCACCGGTTTAAAATACAGTGCTCAAAGAGATAGCCCACTGGTTTAAAATACAGTGCTCAAAGAGATAGCCCACCGGTTTAAAATACAGTGTTCAAAGAGATAGCCCACCGGTTTAAAATACAATGCTCAGAGATAGCTCCCCGGTATTAAAATATGTTGAACATCAATGGAATTTTTTGTTGAAAACGCAAGAGCTTTGAGAATGACACAAATATTAATTCTCACAAAGTCTGCTGCCTCAGTTTTTATGATGGAAATGTGCATATACTCCAGAATGTTATGAAGAATGATCAGATGAATTGCAATGAATTGCAAAGTCCCTCTTTGCCATTAAAATGAACTTAATCCAAAAAAAAACATTTCCACTGTATTTCAGCCCTGCCACAAAAGGACCAGCTGACATCATGTCAGTGATTCTCTCGTTAACACAGGTGAGAATGTTGACGAGGACAAGGCTGGAGATCACTCTGTCATGCTGATTGAGTTATAATAATAGACTGGAATCTTTAAAAAGGAGGGTGGTGCTTGAAATCATTGTTCTTCCTCTGTTAACCATGGTTACCTGCAAGGAAACACGTGCCGTCATCATTGCTTTGCACAAAAAGGGCTTCACACACAGGCAAGGATATTGCTGCTAGAGCTCCTAAATCAACCATTTACCGGATCATCAAGAACTTCAAGGAGAGAGGTTCAATTGTTGTGAAGAAGGCTTCAGGGCGCCCAAGAAAGTCCAGCAAGCGCCAGGACCGTCTCCTAAAGTTGATTCAGCTGTGGGATCGGGGCACCACCAGTGCATAGCTTGCTCAGGAATGGCAGCAGGCAGGTGTGAGTGCATCTGCATGCACAGTGAGGCGAAGACTTTTGGAGGATGGCCTGGTGTCAAGAAGGGCAGCGAGGAAGCCACTTCTCTCCAGGAAAAACATCAGGGACAGACTGATATTCTGCAAAAGGTACAGGCATTGGACTGCTGAGGACTGGGGTAAAGTCATTTTCTCTGATGAATCCCCTTTCCGATTGTTTGGGGCATCCGGAAAAAAGCTTGTCCGGAGAAGACAATGTGAACGCTACCATCAGTCCTGTGTCATGCCAACAGTAAAGCATCCTGAGACCATTCATGTGTGGGGTTGCTTCTCAGCCAAGGGAGTGGGCTCACTCACAATTTTGCCTAAGAACACAGCCATGAATAAAGAATGGTACCAACACATCCTCCGAGAGCAACTTCTCCCAACCATCCAAGAACAGTTTGGTGACGAACAATGCCTTTTCCAGCATGATGGAGCACCTTGCCATAAGGCAAAAGATAAGTAAGTGGCTCGGGGAACAAAACATCGACATTTTGGGTCCATGGCCAGGAAACTCCCCAGACCTTAATCCCACTGAGAACTTGTGCTCAAACCTCAAGAGGAGGGTGGACAAACAAAACCCAACAAATTCTGACAAACTCCAAGCATTGATTATGCAAGAATGGGCTGCCATCAGTCAGGATGTGGCCCAGAAGTTAATTGACAGCATGCCAGGGTGGATTGCAGAGGTCTTGAAAAAGAAGGGTCAACACTGCACATATTGACTCTTTGCATAAACTTAATGTAATTGTCAATAAAAGCCTTTGACACTTATGGAATGCTTGTAATTATACTTCAGTATACCATAGTAACATCTGACAAAAATATCTAAAAACACTGAAGCAGCAAACTTTGTGAAGAGCAATACTTGTGCCATTCTCAAAACGTTTGACCACGACTGTACACACATTTTAACTGCATTTCAACCACAAATCAATGATAAGTAGAATTCACATTTGTTGACAACTCAAATAAATATCAACCAAAAATGGACTTTGATTTTACGTTATGTCAGGTTTTGCCTGAAGGGGTGTTACCAGTGGAGGCTGTTGATGGAAGAAATTAGGATGACGGGCTATGGGTGTTTGCTATGATTCCATTCCATCCAGACATCACAATGAGCACATCCTCCCCATTTCTACCTACATCCCTGTCCACTGGGTTTTACAGGTTGGGTATGTATAAAATCCAGGAGCAGAATAATCCAAGTTGACCTCAAAAAGATCCTCCATCCTACTACACTTACAGAGATTAACATTTGGTCTAGTATTTTCATTTTTTCCAGGCCTTGGAATTGGATGACTGTGCCATCGTGTCATAGCACCCTCGAGCTGTACACAGGTGGACAGGGTGGAGAATGTGATTAATCAGAGCACAAAACACATCAAGTACTGTGTGTACACACACACACACCTGACACATGCTGTAGATACTGTTTCCAGAAATTCAATTGGACAACATTATCTCTACCATCACCACCCCATTATTTCAGCAGATGGTAATGTATCCTTGAGCTCCGAGGGATGTTTTTGTGAGGAAGACCGCGTGCAGGACAGCGGAAGAAGAGAGGGGGGAGAGCAGTGGGAAATTGAGGGATGTAAGAAAAAAGTTAGAGAACATAGTAGAATGCTACGCGCTATGAAATAGACAGTGAACTTTAGTCAAGGGTCATGGCTTTTTATATCACCATCTGACCTCCCAACCCAAATCACTCTATTCAGATATAAGATCACATTATTTGAATAAAAACTACATTGTCTACAGTGGCAGTCGGTGCCGTTTAAGATGAGTGAGGACCATTTTTTTATGAGAATGGCCTTATTTCTATTACAGCATATTGGAGGTTTCTACAACCTAGCCTACAAATTAAAGTTTACAACGTAGGTGCACAGGTCGAGGTGCACACATTCAATATCGCCTTGCACACTCTTGCCTGCATCTAGCTGATCTAGGGTGTAATTATTAGTCCAACAGTTGCAAACAAGAATTTCTATTGGACAAATTCAGGTATGTTTATCCCCGTTTCATTACGTTTGCTTCCATTTAAGAAACACTTTTCAACAGAATCGGTGGAAATTAATACTCCCCTGATCACCGCAAACACAGTTCACTTTCATAGCAGCCACATACAAAAAGCATGAACATTTGCTCATTGTATAATTCCTTCTCGAATCTATGCGCTCTCCTCCTCTCTCCTTTTCAGTGCACAATACAACAGCTGTCTGTGACCCGGTGAAAAAACCTTTCCAAGCCAAACCTTCATACCATAACTGCTAAACGCTACACACAGCCTACATCGTTGTCACCATTTTAGCTAGCATCATAGTCAACATAGCTAGCTACTAGAACTAAGGCGTTAATAAACACGCTACAATCATGCAGTACAGTGTGTAGCAAACAGTTTAGCAGTTACACCGGTGGGCCCCGGTGGCAATAAATGAATACAAACAAAAGCTCACCTTGACTTGGAAGTTCCAGTGTTCGATAGCCATAGCCAGCTAGCTAACATAGCATCCCTCTCTGTTAGGTAAGTGAAAGTGAAAAACAAAAACAACAAAATATAGCTAACTCTCTCTCTCTCTCTCTCTCTCTCTCTCAATTCAATTCAATTCAATTCAATTTAAGGGATTTATTGGCATGGGAAACGTATGTTAACATTGCCAAAGCAAGTGAAGTAAACAAAAGTGAAATAAACAATAAATATTAACAGTAAACATTACACTCAGAAGTTCCAAAAGAATAAAAGACATTTCATATGTCTTCTCTTGAGAGCCAGGTCTGCCTACGGCGGCCTTTCTCAATAGCAAGGCTATGCTCACTGAGTCTGTACATAGTCAAAGCTTTCCTTAAGTTTGGGTCAGTCACAGTGGTCAGGTATTATGCCACTGTGTACTCTGTTTAGAGCCAAATAGCATTCTAGTTTGCTCTGTTTTTTTGTTAATTCTTTCCAATGTGTCAAGTAATTCTCTTTTTGTTTTCTTATGATTTGGTTGGGTCTAATTGTGTTTTTGTTGTTGTCCTGGGGCTCTGTGGGGTCTGTTTGTGTTTGTGAACAGAGCCCCAGGTCCAGCTTACTTATGGGACTCTTCTCCAAGTTCATCTCTTTGTAGGTGATGGCTTTGTTATGGAAGGTTTGGGAATCGTTTCATTTTAAGTGGTTATAGAATTTAACAGCTCTTTTCTGGATTTTGATAATTAGCGGGTATCGGCCTAGTTCTGCTTTGCATGCATTATTTGGTGTTTTTCATTGTACACAGATGATATTTTTGCAGAATTCTGCATGCAGAGTCTCAATTTGGTGTTTGTCCCATTTTCTGAATTCTTGGTTGGTGAGCGGACCCCAGACCTCACAACCATAAAGGGCAATGGGTTCTATAACTGATTCAAGTATTTTTAGCCAGATCCTAATTGGTATGTCAAATGTTATGTTCCTTTTGATGGCATAGAAGGCCCTTCTTGCCTTGTCTCTCAGATCGTTCACAGCTTTGTGGAAGTTACCTGTGGCGCTGATGTTTAGGCCGAGGTATGTATAGTTTTTTGTGTGTTCTAGGGCAACGGTGTCTAGATGGAATTTGTATTTGTGGTCCTGGCAACTGGACCTTTTTTGGAACACCATTATTTTTGTATTTCTGAGATTTACTGTTAGGGACCAGGTCTGACAGAATCTGTGCAGAAGATCTAGGTGCTGCTGTAGGCCCTCCTTGGTTGGTGACAGAAGCACCAGATCATCAGCATCATCTCTCTCTCTCTTGTTTCTCCTTCATTTTTGAAGAAATTAATTCGTTAAAAACTGTTACTATTGTCTTTTTCTCTCTTAGTAGTCAACTACTCACCATATTTTATGCACTGCAGTGCTAGCTTGCTGTAGCTTATGCTTTCAGTACTAGATTCATTCTCTGATCCTTTGATTGGGTCGACAACATGTCAGTTCATACTGCAAGAGCTCTGATAGGTTGGAGGAAGTCCTCCAGAAGTTGTCATACTTACTGTGTAAGTCTATGGAAGGGGGTGAGGACCATGAGCCTCCTAGGTTTTGTATTGAAGTCAATTTACCCAGAG